AGTTTGGCTCCACTCAAAAAAACTGTTGAAAATGTATTACTTCTTAAGCACTTAACCGAAGTCTTAACAAAAATACAACTAAAATATAGAAGAAACCTTTGTATTCTTTATTATTAAGAGGTACAATATGAGAAAAATATTATTCCAAGAATAGAAAATCATTGATTAATCTAGTTTTATGTTAGGTAGCAAACTCCGAATAAAATATAGTGTGCTATGCTATAATCGTTTCTTTCGTATTGTTCCAATTTTCGTTATATATCATAACGCGTAACGAACGCAAGACGTTCATTACGCCGCTTAGTATATGACTTCTCTTTCGTTCTGTCGCTTTTCTTTACGACTATTCGTTTACATTACAACTATTTTTTTCTGTTCTGTTACGACTTACGACGATACGATAATGAACGTATAACGCTTATTACGTCTGACGGCCCATCTCTAATTGAAATGAATTGTTTTTGTTTTCTTTTTTTTTTTAGTCATTGAGTTACGGCTGTGAATGTAATGTAAATAGAATAAGTACATATTCATCGTCGACTGACGATAAATTGATTGTCGATGATTATCTATTAATCATTATCATTGAATGATAGTTCATGTTTTTCAAATATCCTATATAAGGAATGATTTTCTTGTCTAAAATCATTCAATTCAATCGATCTATTGTATCAACAATAGATTGAATAAGTATTCTCATAAATCTTATTTTTTTTTCAGGAGGTGCAAGATACAATTATGTACATAATTATGATATTTATACATATATATATTTCAATCTTAAATAGAGTATGTTGTTTCTTTTTTATTTTCGTATTGGGATAAAAAATTTATAAATAAGTTGAAAAGTTCTATTGGCCACTAGAACTTTTCAAGTTATTTTTTTCTTTCATACTTGTGTTATTCTGTAGAGAGGGAGATAGATACTATTTTATATCACAGCCCGTCAGATGGCTTCGTAATCTGACCCAGGAAGATTTCTTGTGCCTATGTTGGCGAAAGCAGTGGAGTACTCGGGAAGGCCGTCTGTTCGTAGGTCCCTGTCGCCGTTTACGTACGTCACACCTATGATCATGCCCTACCAGTCCGGTGTGGTCCGCTCTGCGTGTACCCATTGCGGGCTTACAGGGAGTTTTCCTGGTCGCGCGTACGCGAGAATCAATTGTAATTCAAATAAATTTATTCAGCAAATCGAAAAAAAAACAAATTACATTTTCTTTTTTACATCGTTAAGACACTGTTTATACAACTGTAAGTGTGGATGATTTGAGGGTAGTGAAAGTTGTGCAATTTCAACAGCACGTTGATAAAATTGACTTGCCTTTGAGTATTTTTTCATGTACCGAACCGAAGTTGTGATAGGAAACAGCCAAAGAGGGATGATTCGAAGGCAGTGCTTTCTTTTGTATTTCAAGTGATTTTTCGTAAAATTCAAGTGCTTTCGAGTAGTCACCCATACTCTTATACACTTGACCGATGTTGCTGTATGAAGTAGCCAATGAGGGATGATTCGAAGGCAGAGCTTTTTTTGTGATTTCCAGATCTTTTTCGTAAAATTCAAGTGCTTTCGAGTAGTCACCCATGTTATTATACACTTGACCGATGTTGCTGTATGAAATAGCCAAATGAGGATGATTCGGAGGGAGAGTTTTCTCGTCGATTTTAAGTGTTTTTTCGTAAAATTCAAGTGCTTTCGAGTAGTCACCCATGTTATTATACACTTGACCGATGTTGCTGTACGAAGTAGCCAAATCAGGATGATTCGAAGGCAGAGCTTTTTCGCAGATTTTATGTGACTTTTCGTAAAATTCAAGTGCTTTCGAGTAGTCACCCATGTTATTATACACTAGACCGATGTCGCTGTACGAAGTAGCCAAGTCAGGATGAGTCGAAGGTAGAGCTTTTTCTTTAATTTTAAGTGATTTTTCGAAAAATTCAAGTGCTTTCGAGTAGTCACCCATGTTATTATACACTTGACCGATGTTGTTGTACGAAGTAGCCAAATCTGGATGATTCGAAGGCAGAGCTTTTTCGTAGATTTGATGTGATTTTTCGTAAAATTCAAGTGCTTTCGAGTAGTCACCCATGTCGCTGTACACTCCACCGATGTTGCTGTATGAAGTAGCCAATGAGGGATGATTCGAAGGCAGAGCTTTTTTTGTGATTTCTAGATCTTTTTCGTAAAATTCAAGTGCTTTCGAGTGGTCACCCATGTTATTATACACTTGACCGATGCTGCTGTATGAAGTAGCCAACCGTGGATGATTCGGAGGTAGAGATTTTTTTGTGATTTCTAGATCTTTTTCGTAAAATTCAAGTGCTTTCGAGTAGTCACTCATGTTATTATACACTTGACCGATGTTGCTGTATGAATTACCAAACCGTGAATGATTCGGAGGCAGAGATTTTTCTTTTATTTCAAGTGATTTTTCGTAAAATTCAAGTGCTTTCGAGTAGTCACCCATGTCGCTGTACACTCCACCGATGTTGCTGTATGAAGTAGCCAATGAGGGATGATTCGCAGGCAGAGCTTTTTGTATGATTTCTAGATCTTTTTCGTAAAATTCAAGTGCTTTCGAGTAGTCACCCATGTTATTATACACTTGACCGATGTTGCTGTATGAATTACCAAACCGTGGATGATTCGGAGGCAGAGATTTTTCTTTTATTTTAAGTGATTTTTCGTAAAATTCAAGTGCTTTCGAGTAGTCACCCATGTTATTATACACTTGACCGATTGTAGTGTAGGAAATAGCCAAATCAGGATGTGTTGGAGGCAGAGCTTTCTTCCTAATTTGGAGATCTTTTTCATAGATTTCAAGAGCTTTGGAGTAGTCACCCAAGTTGTTGTACACTTGACCGATATTGTTGTAGGACTTAGCCAAATCGGGATGATTCGTAGGCAGAGCTTTTTCGTAGATTTCATGTGATTTTTCGTAAAATTCAAGTGCTTTGGAGTAGTCACCCATATTATTATACACTGCAGCGATGTTGTTGTACGTAGGAGCTAATGAAGGATCATCTTTCGGAAGAGTTTTTTGCTCGATTTTCAGAGATTGTTCGTAAAACGCAACTGCTTCTTCGTATTGTCCTTGGCTGTATTTCATCACTCCAAGCTGGTGATAGATATGTGCTCTATCACTATGATCCGATGGCTGTTCTAGTAGTGCCAGATATAGTTCTTCGGCCTTGTCGAATTGACCTATTTTGAATAATAATTGCCCCATTCGACGCCATCTGGTGCCGCTGACCTCTTTTCGTATAAAGTCAGTTAATTCTTGAAGTTGTGGATCATCATCTGACGTAAGTTTAAGATCGGCTTGATAAAGTGCACGATTGTTGTCAATTTTTCGCACTTCACCAATACGAAAGACGGTGTGCATGGTGAAGAGAATTTCCTCTTCTTCCTTATAATAGCTCACCTCCTGAATGGAGGCGAATGGAGTTGATGATGCTGTAGGATCAATGGTTATTTGGAATAAAATTCCAACCATATCAGTCATTTTCAAGGCTTCTTTGGCGAAAACAAGGGAGACATCTGGATTTGTGCTGGTAGATAAAAAGTTGTTAAAAGAAATAAGCCCACCTTTGTTTTCTGCGAGCTTTTCAAAGTCTACTTTCGATAGGCCTTGCCCTCGAAAGATTGTAAGAATCGTGCCACGATAGTCACTGACCTGCTTCTTGTACAGAGCTTCGATTTGTCGATGCACATCACATAAAAAGAAACCCATTCGTATCATAATGTCGCCGTTCAGTGTTCTTAATGCGCCATTCAACATTTTGTATGTAAAACACTGTCTTGTATACCACCAAATGGCGTTGGATGCTTGATATGTACGTTGAAATTCTTTAATAATTTTGATTTCCTTTTTATTGCCTTGATATTGTTCTTGGCAGTAGATGACCAAATCTTGGACGGCTTGTTGTTCATGTTTGATTTCAAGGAGTATTTCCTTGAATATTTGGGAATACATAAAAGAAGGTTCTAGCTGATCTAGATTCTTGCTAGAACCTCCTGCATTCACACTAACAATGCTTACCGACATGTGATCTTGATTATATTGTTTGATTGCTGTTGCCAATTTGTCGCAAATATGTTTGATTGTTGTGTGAACACCTTTAATTTTCGGCCAATTTTGCGCCCATACTTGATGCCGTTGTTTATTGCCACAAAATATGAAAATGGCATTTAATTTTGCCATATCATGAATGTCTGGTACCAGGTGTTGTCCAATTGCACCTGAGGAGATAACAAATGAGATCTCCTCTTGATTTTCTGTGAGCTGTTGTATGCATTGTTCAGCTGTCTCACATGGAGTAACTTGATTGACGACAGCACGTAACTGTTCCATTGTATTTTGGCAATCTTGATTTGCCATGTCGATATTTCCATCGACCCATATGACCAAATAATTTTCAGCCATACGATGCTTTTGATATTGAGCCAGTTTTGATGCCATTTTTGCTGCTTGGTAAGTAATTTGTGTATTTTAAAGAATATATTGTTGTTTGAATAGTTATTACCTTTTCTATTTATTCATTCAAAGTCTGCTGTTTTTATTTGTTGACACTCAAGGACGAACTCTACCTAGTTTCAGTTGAAAATATGGTTGTCAACAACAAACGAAAGAGAAAAAACCCAACAACATCATTAATTGTATTGTTATTCTTTCCAACTTTCGTTTGCTTTTCATCTACTTAAGCACTTGAGTCTTTCCTTTCATACTGGCAAGAACGAAAAAAAAAACAACATAGACATTGCCAGTTCGATTTGTTTTATTATGGTCACAATGAATATTGTGATAATGTAAACAAAATAAGAAAAAAAAAGGTTTTATTTTTATTGAAGCAACATTCAAGCAACGACTGTTTTTTACTCTGTGAAATATAGTGCATCTTATTAATAATTATCATTTTGCTTGATTTCACAACGACATGTATTATTCCTCATTGGCTACTAAAGTGATTACGACTTCCCTAATAGATATCCTCGCAAATTGTGCAGCTCTTTTGAATAGAAAAAAGACATATTACACGAATATTGAAGCGATCAACAAAGATTAATATTTAATACAAAATAAATCAAACATATGGAAATCTTGATTGACGACAAAGTACAGTAAAGGTAGTCTTTACGTTTCAAATACAAACGATAACACATTGTACACAATAGTTTGCACTACAATTATATCAGTTGAAATATTGGTTTATGTTGAATGATATGTTGGAAATTTACATACGAGGGTATAAAAGTTGCAAAGACAAACATCATACCCTATAGTTGCTGTCTTATGTTTGTTCTTTTAGATTTTTTTACGACGTTAAATATGGTTGGTTTTTACCAACAACGTCATTTATTCTATTATTATTCTTTTCAATTCTGCTGCTTGTGACGGACATGTTGATAATATGAATGAAGCAACAATCAAAAAACATTTTTACTTGCCAAATATATTATTGTTAGTCCTGAATTTCCACATTTAAAAAACTCTATTACCGAGAAGAGTGCCAATTGCGTCTTTACGGCAATTAGCAAAGATATTGATAATAAATATGATTGAAAAACATTATGAAATCGATTTCGAACAAGATACGATCCTATTCTGTGTTTCTACATCGATTAGTACAACTATGTGCCGCAATTTGAAAAGAACACAAAGTTCTGATTTAAAAATGATGTTGTAAAATTTCTGCAAACCTGTTTTGAATTGTTCGAAAGATGAATAAATATTTTTGTCTCAACAATTCTCAGCTTAATCGTTAGTATATTCAAAAGAAAAATATATATAAAATAGGTTTTAACAAAACATAAGGGCAATTTGTTCATGCATTTATTGTTAAACATTTCGCCTTTTTGTAAGTTTTTGTCTTGTGAAAAACTTCATTATATTTCGATTATAGAGTTTTTATATCTCTGTAATAATATGTCTATATAAATAAATAGTGATTAGAACCGAATTGAAAGATTACATATTGAATTCATATAAAGAAATTTCTTCCAATTAATTACGAAAAAGATTAGTTCTCACACACAGGGTCCTTCTCTGGTGCAGTGACACCCGCATCTATATATAATATTTTTAGTAAAATATTTGAAAATACAAAATAATTTTCTTAATGCTTTATTTCTTTTCTATTTATTTGCTTCTTCCAAAAAAACAATCTTCGGATATAACTTTGCAAAAACATTAAGCGTAATGTCGATTACATGATGTTGTTCGATTTCTTTGGAAAATGCAATTATGACAAATAAGAAAGATCAACAGAAAAAAAAAATACATTAATAACAAACGAGTTGCCATCAGTTTTTCTTCTTGCGTTCGTGTCTGTACAGGGCAATGAAAATGTGCAGATAGAATGTGTAAACAAACAACTGCTGAAGAAAAGTTGAATTGCATGTTTCTTTCTTTCTTTCACTGGGATTACATCTTATATAAAGAACTTTTTGTTTATTATATTATATTTATTAATTTAAAATCATCTAATATCACTAGAATCTATGTCCGAAGTATGATTAAAAGCATCTGAGTGATATATAAATGAGAATGACTGTTTCAAAAACCTTCATTTCGAGAAAAGAAAACATGAAACAATATGAAATATTTTCTATCATCGATAAATTTGACTTCTGGCACTCAGCTCAGTCAAAACACTAAAATAAAACGTATCGTACTGTAGTAAAATTTAGTGCAAAAAACATGTTGAAAAATAAATCAATGATCAAGATTGGATCACTGTGATGCGGCTGAATCTTATCGAAAAAATAGTAATTCGATTTCCCACAACAAGAAAGATATTTAACATATCAAAGTGTAAACATACGATATGTTTTTTATTAGTGTGAATGCATACTGTTTGTGATTATACCGTATGACAAAAAAACTCTTAATTCATTTTTAGACAAAGAAAGTGTTTCGGATACATATTGATATGTACCCATACAATTTACTTTGTCTGATTTGGATATAGATATTCTCTTCATCCACACCACACCCTATTGTCCAGATTTAATGGTATGCGACATGAATCATATCCTTATGTAAAGAAAAGCAAGAAATAATTGTTTCTCATATATTCACATTCTATTCAGCAGAGAATTAAAACAGCTTAATTTTTCATATATAGATCAGTTGAATATATAAGCAAATAAATCAAGTATTTTCCATGAAAACATTCTATAACTTAATCTTTCTGAGGACATCAAACAAAGCTAAATCTCGTTGTATACAGTACAAAATGCATTAGAAGGTTTTATATTATTAGTCAGAGGTTGCTGACATCGACAAAATATGTAATATAAAATAGAATTTTATAAGAAAGTACGGACGATTTTGCTGATAACAAGTCCTTTCTTTTTGTAAACTTTATCGTTTTTCAACCTTTAAGATTTTATTAATAAAATCTTGATCAAAATAGATTACAAATCATCCTAACAATAAGTCGATCTAACTCAGAATTTAGCGAATTTTATCGTAATGATAAAGTGAAGAAGACTTAAAATAATAACCATCTACATTAGTCGTACTAAAAATTAATTCATATTTTTTTTGACATTATTTATTAGTTTTGTTAATCCCCAGTAAGATTTTGTATCAAAGAAAGAATTTAAAACACAAAGCACTCAGTTGCTAAGAAAAAACAATAATAAAAAAAACTAAAAACAAACGAAAAAAAAGCTTTTATTTTTTCTTTTCTTTATAATTTCTCTGATGAATGATGACCATGAATAGTTTTTATTCTTGTATGATCATCATAAGAATTTTTCATATGTTGTTTAAGCATTTTTTCACTTTGATATTAAGAAAAAGCTTGAAATAATTCTGGACAACTTTGTTTTGCTGCTATATCAATAACACTTTCATTTTTATCATTTAACCAACATGCATCACCTCCATGTCTTTTATCAAAAAAAAAATTAAATTTTCTTATTTTCTTATTTAATTTCTAATTAAAAAATATAAACTTACTTGAGAAGAATTCTTAATGGTTCAGCACCATCAAGTCCTAATAAACAACATTCATGTAATGCTGTATTACCTCGTCTACAAAACAAAACAAAATCAATATTTCTTAACATTTTGAATATCAATTTTTATCTGAACAAAAAAAGAAAAAATACAAAATCAATCTTTGATTTCAATTGATATTAAAATCTCGAGATATATATAGAACTCACGGTCCTTTTTTATCTAATTTAGCTTTTCCATCTATAATAAGTGTTTCTAAACATTCATAATATCCATTACGTATAGCCAATTGTAGAATCGTATAACCTTCTTTATTTTTAATATTAACATCAGCTTTTTCTTTTATTAAACGTTGAACTTCTTTTAATATATCAATTTGATGTGATGATTTTTTATTATAATTATTATTTCTTTTTTCAAATAATCGAATTAATGCATGAGTTGACTATTAATTATAATAGGTAATTAATAAGACAAAAATAAATTATAATAAAATATTTTATTCTTACACTCAATATTTTCTGTAATTTCTCTTGGATATTCATCTATGTAAAAAACAAAGTTTTTTTTTTGCAAAGAATACTTTTGCCTATTATCAGAATAAATTGTATTTGAATATGGTGAACTTCGTTCACTATTTATTGGATAATATTCATTTGTTTCATTAATAAAAAATGGTGATTGTGAAAGATTTTCTGGTTTACGAAATACTGTTTGTATAGTTACTTGATATTCATTTTCATGTACAGTTGCATGAATCATATTACCCATACGTGGTTCACCTAAAAAAAATAATTAAATAATATATAAACTTTTTTAATATTAATATATAAGATATATATAGAGAGAATTTATATTTTAGATAATAGTTATTATTCATTATAGCAAAATAAAAGTATTAGTTTGTTTAAATATTAAAGATCTTACCAATCAATGATTGAAAATCTGGTCGATTAACTGCATAAGTTTTTAAAAGAGCACAAATATGATCTAATTGTTGTCGCCAATATCCTTTTCCTGGACTTGTAGATGTTAATATTGGACGATATTCTTTTAATTCTTTTCCATTTAATAGTTTTTTATTTTGTGTTATAATTAAATCAATATCTTTTGCACTTGGATAATAAATTCCATATGTTTGTGTTGCAACTTCTTTTTTAATTGTTGAATATGATTGATGAGGATTAACTGAAGTACGTGTTAATGTCTATAGAAAATAAGAATCATTTTTTTATTTTTTATTCTTTAATTTTAATATACACTAGCAATCATTGATGACGATGAAATATTCAAATCATTTTAAAGACGTGTATCAATAATACGTAATGGTGGTTCAAGAACACATCCACATGTTGAACAAAATTTTCCAAATGAATCATTATTAGTATGACATTTTGTACATTGTATTGATGTAGATATATGTTCAGGATATGCACCACACCAATCACAAAAACGAGCATTAGGATTATTTAAACGAAAACATTTTGAACATGTTATCATCATTGTATTTGTTTGTTTTGATATTGTTGGAATTGAAATTGAAGTTCGTCTTCCATATTGAAATATAAATACGGAAAAAAAATAAATAAGATTTTTTTTTTGTTTACTGGTGATGTCGATGTTGGCATTAATACATTTTCACAAATATAACATGTTCGTAAATGTATTGAATTTGTTGATTTACAATGAGAACATAGAATTCTTGTCTAGAGAGGAACATTACAATTTGATTAATTTTTTTGAAATCTGATTTTGAGAAGTTGGTCGCTGTTGTGGTTCTTTGGATACTGGTGTTTCAGATACAACACATGTGTTAGAATTAAATGGAATAGTAGATTTACAATTTGTACATATATTAGTCTAATTAAAGAAAAATTATCCGTGTAAAATAAGATAACTACTATTCATTTGTAAAGTAATCAATACTGTCATGTAGAACAATACATGATCCGTCGAAGGATATACTCTTTATCAAATTTTACAGTTCTGAAAAGTCATATACCCCCCCCCCCCAATTAAGGAAATATAACCGATTTTCTAATGTTTTTTTTTGCGAAATCCTTCCTTTCCTATCATAATTAGTACAGTTTTTACAAAAAATGGTAGTTTTTTCAGCAAAAAACAATAATTAAAGTTATTAATTAATTATTCATTTTTTAAATGATTTTAATTAAAAACTGACCAAAAATTGACTCCCAATAGAAGGCCATCCAAAAAGTAGCAATGTGCCAAGACACTGTATAAGGGCATGCCCTTTTATTCTTGGGGGCGGGGGGTGGGGGGAATACAAGTTAACAGGTATTTTATCAAAGATGGGGGTTGTGAGAAATAGACTGTCGAGAACAAAGGCAACCAACTATGCAACTTTTTCCATGTTCTATAAGTGTGATTCCTGAGAATAGAAAAATATATGACTTTTCTTTTTGTTTTTAGGCTTCAGAACATCGAATGTGATTCGGATATGTAGTTCTATCACATTCAACATATGTTCGGGTTTCTTATAAGAATTAATAGCTTTCTCAAGATTCTGAAAGAGAAAAACGCTTTTTTACTGTTTTCGAAAGACCCATATATATATGTCACATATAGGTTATTTTTGAGATCATATTACTCATCATTGCTCTTGTATATCTTAACTGGTATAATGACTTTTATGAAAAAATAATTTCGTAAATAACTATGAGTTGTTCAACAGAATGGGATTAGGTAGTTTCTTTTTTTCAAATGAAGGGTAGTCATCATATCCGATAGAGTTATTTTGAATTACTAAATAATTATCCGGTGGATTATGAGTTAGTTTTTGCCAAGGTAGACCACATTCCGTACAAAATCGTGTATATAAATCATTTGATTTAGGTGCAAAACAATGTGCACATCTAGAAAAGAAAAAACAAAGCTCAAATAATAAAATAATTTTGTTTCGATAAACCTTAAAACATTTGTTTGTATTTGAGAATTTGAATATGTATAATTAGTTGGATTTTCTTGTACTAATGAATCAATTGTTGAACGATGCATTGATTCTATATAGAAATTTGATTAATAATAAATAAAATTACTATTTTTGATACCAGATAATTTTTGTTGCATTTTTTCATTTTCATTTTGGATCTTTCTCATTAATTCCTATTGAAGTAAAATTATAAAATCAATTAATAAATATTTAACTGAATTAAATATGTAGAAAAAAGTTCGATTGCTTTACTAATTGTATGTTTACAAATTGTTTTTTAGATATATTATTATCGGCGAAATGAAAAATATTTACAATAAATTATTTTCGTTAACATCTATCTCTATGTAAAGTTTCAAATCGAAATTTAAAAACTAAAATTGAAGATGTGTCAATGACCTTGATAAGTTTTGAACTTCATAGAAAAAAAAAACAGTTTAATGAAGTAATATCGATAGACAAGCATTAAATTACTACTATCATATTAGTGATCTTCTAATTGAACTCTTGAAATATCGAGACATTCTTGAATATCAATTTTTTTTTAATAAAATTAAAGATAAATATTTTTGCAAAGTAAAATATATTTATATTGAAAAAATTGAATATTTAATTAAACTTTAACATCTTGATTAATCATTTATAATGACACATAAAGTTGTTCGTATATCCAAAAAGATTATTTTATTTTCGTAATATTTTATGAAAAATTCAATGTATTCAGATATGTTTTCTATAAAAATCGAGTTCATAATTTCTTTTAATGAAATCTCATCGTTTTCTAAAATATGCTTTTTCAAATTACTTAAATAAATACTAAAAATAATATATCTTTCACTTGATTCAAATTCATTGTACATTTCATATAAAAATAGGTATGATTTCATAATAAAAAAAAAAGTATTCTATACAGTATTTCAATAAACATGAGATAAGTAAATTTCTATTGAATTTATTTATTATCTATCATTTTGAAATTTTTTACCTTTCGTTCTTGTTGTAATTCATATAAATATCGATTTTCATATTCATCCGATAATGAATGATCTGATGGAATAATTTTAACATCAAATATTTTTGTTACTATAACACTTTCTCGTATTCTATCACTAAATAAATTTTAATAAAAAAAAATAAAAATTCTTCTAACTGATTTTTTTTGTTTTCTCAAATATCTTTACCGTGATGCCTGTATTAGCTATATCTGTTGGTATATAAAATGGTTTTTTTTATATTGTATAGTCGAACGTCGTGTTGCTAATGTTATAAATGCATCTGGCTTTGAACCATCTAATGTATAATAAATATCAACATCATTTGCATCACTACGTATTTCAATCAATGTATTTGTATCAATGGAAAATTTTTGTGTATATCTAACACGTAATGGAATTATTGACGGAGCAGATATTGAACCAGCAGTCGTTTTGTTTAACAATTCAAAAAGTAATTCAATTGACATGATGAAACCATATCAAACTTTTTTACATCAAACGGTTGTCTATCATTTTGAAATTTTTCATTACGAAGTTGTACTTCACGTCTTTCACGTTCTGCTTGTTCTCTATAATAATAATAAGCAAAATTTCTTTAATCTTGTTCTTTTTTTTTTGGGATTCTAAATAAAGACTTACCAACGAACTTTAATTATATTTAATTTATCTTTATATTTTGATGTTATATTAAGAACATTTTGTGAAAGATATTCAGATTGAGCATTAATTTCAGACTAGAACAAAAAACAAATGACAATAAAAAATTATTTTAATCTAAATATAAATAATTATGTTGGATTCATCGTCTCAGTCTAGAGGAGTATTATATATAAGATAAAAGAAAAAAAAAATAGGTGCAGAAAAATGTGCTTATGGAAATATTTTATCTACGAAATTTAATAGTGAATAGAAAAACACGAAGAGGAAAAAAAGGAGAAGCAATAATAAATCATATGTATTAATACTAATTTTTTCCGTAGCTGAACTAGTCGAATCATAGAATAATATGTACGCGATATGTAAGAGAATGAAATTATTATTATTATTATTTTTTGTATTTTTTTTCTTTACCTTTTCTTTTTCTAATTGTTCACAACGACGTGATGTTTCTTCAAGTACAATTTGTACATGTTCTAATTGATGTGTAGCTATACGAATACGTTCACATACATCATCATATTTTATTTTTAAAGATTTATAATCATTTTCAAATTCATCTGCACGTCGTCGTTCTTTTTCCAAACCAACATTTAAATTTGGTTCAATCTATATTTATTAATAAATATATTAATTAAAACATACAAAATTTTAAACAAAAAAACAAAATAATTTGTTCTTGACAGAAAATAAATCATGTCTATATATATATGTATATACGATAAAATTTTCTCATTATGACATGAATAATAACAAATACTTTCCATAATGTGAGTAACATAAATGATACTATGATAAACAATATTGACTAATTAGATAAAAAAAAACAATTTTACATAACAACAACAGTATTTCATATAACATCTTGTCGATATTTTTTATATTAATAGCTTATGACATTAAATCATGTCAACACGAACTGATTTACCTTTGATTAAAAAAAAAAGAACGTGCAATTAATTAATTGTTAGAAAGACGAAAATAGAAACTGAGCACTTTTGAGGAGTTCTAATGGTACTCAAATTTGAGACGTTTTGCTTTAGGAATGTTTTCATTTTTGTTTATTAAATAATATTAAGTCGGTATTCATTGTAATGAATTGTGAGAGCGATTTCACGCATGTCGGCGGCATTCAATATGATGGCGTCTTGCGCCATCGGCACTTTCAGGAGTTTTTTTTCTTTTATTACAATATGTGAACCACTTATGATAAGAACTTTTTAGCAATAACATTTCCGATCAAAATGATTACCTTGACTTTTTTTTTTTTTACTGTAAATTTGATAAAAGAAATCTGTAAATGTAGTCTTTGTACGATTACATGATATAATTAGTGTTGCTAATAGAGATCTGCAAACTGGTCCCGTAATGTTTTCTGTTCCAGAACTAGACTATCTATTTCCATATTTATTATTCTGTTCTGACTAATGATCTACAAATAGGCCTTTTTTATTTATTTATGCCCAGGTCGAAAAGTACGAGTGGGTTCCGGCAGAAAAACACTGGAAGTTATTGGAACAGGGTGGCAGTATTCCGGCCGGACACTTTTCGGTGACTTCCGATCAAATTCCTCCCGTTTTCTTCAGAAAATTGTCCGGAAAAAATCCGAAACTTTTCCGGCCGGAACACTGCCACCCTGTTCCGGCGACTTTCAGTGTTTTCGTGCAGGATACGGTGACCGGAATCTTCGACCTGGGATTGTTAATTTCTCAAAATCATCAATATTCATTTTATATATATTCAAAAAATCATACAGATTATAAGAAAAGTCGTTTTTTTTTCTAGAAACAATAAAAAGTTTTAAATTGAAACCAGGACCAAAAAAAAAGAAAAGATGATCCCACCGATACCTAGTTGTTAATCATCGATTGATTGTTTTATTCGATCTGTTTTAGGATATATTTTTACTTAGTTTCTATACAAATATAATAAGATATTTAAGTATTAAGAAAATTAATAATATTCATAAGTTAATATTTACTTTTTCTTTTTCATGTAATTGTTTTTGTGCATTATTTAATTCATATTTAAGTGTATTTGTATGTTCAATTAATTCATTATAACGTTCACGTAAACGTAATAATTCAAATTCAAGTTCAATATTTTTTATTCTAATATAAAATATATTAATATAAAGAAATTTATTCATCATACATCAATATTTGATTCTTCATGTTGAGTTCTAATTCTATACGAAAAAAAAAATCATAGGAAAAATAAAATTCGAATATTTTTTGTTTGTGCCTATACTTTAATATTTGATTTTCATTTGTTAATTTCATAAGATTTTGTTTGTTAATATCATCTAATCGTTGACTACATGTTAGAATATGTTTATGTAATACATCACATTTTAATTTAAGATTTTCCATATGAAATTTAATTCCTTCATCTGAATTATCAAACTAAAAAATTATGAATATTTTAAATATCAATCCAAAAAAAAAGAATGCAATTATACTGTTTGTTCAAATTGAATAGTTTTTTTCTCTGTAATTTCAAGTTCTTGACGAACAAGATCAATTTCACGTTCAAGTGAACGTTGTTGAATAATAGAAAATAATTTTGTTTGTTCAATATCTGATATATTTTGTGATTTTTCCATCTAATATTATTTAAATTAAATTTTACTTTTTTTTTGTTTTTAAATTTTAATAATACATACTAAATATTTTAAAAGATCATTTTCTTCTTGTTGTGAAATAAATTTTAATTTAAATTCAAGTAATTTCATTTCTGTTTGTTGCATAGTTTCAAATACTAATTGATGTATAGATAAAGATGATAATGTTGTTGTTGTTTTTTGTTGATCCAATTTTTGATTAATATATGTTACAATATAATCAAGCTTAGAACGAAATGTTTCAATTTCATGTTGTAATTCAATATTTTGTTCCATAAATTTTTTTGATAATTCTCCAGCTTCTAATAAAATATAGAATTGAATTAATTAATTATTTCTATTCTCTATGAAAAGTTTCAAAATACAAAAAAAAAAATTAGTCTTTCTCATATTTAAGAAATAATAAATTAATATTATTATATTTGTTAGAATATATCTGAGAATAAAAGTGAATGTTTTATCTCAAAAGTATGCAAGTCAACATATATTTATCAGTATTTTAGTATCATTAGAAGATAATAAGAATGAAGCAAAGATCTTCTATAGAGAATTTTTTACTATAATTTTGATATCAAATATCAATTTTTTTCTAGGAATGATAAATTTACATTTAAAAAAAAAAGAATTGCTAAAATTAGAAGTAACTTAACAGGAAAAAGGGAATTACGATATTGAATTACAAGCCTACCGTAAGAATATAACATTCTCCGTTTAATAATGATCTTTAATTCTAACCGAGAATTTTTTTTTTCTTCTCTTCTTATGTCCATCATCAAAACTATAGTTGCTATATCTTTAGTATTTAATTCATTGAAGAATTTCTTTCGTTAGTAGATGAACTTAAGTAATAACTGTCTCATTCAATCTTATTGTTTAACCTCAGACGAATCTGTACAACTAATTATAATAATAGTTGAGAAGTTCGATATACGATAGTTTTTACTAAAGATATATCTTCTTTGTTATTCGATAAACAACAATAAAAAGTATACAATAGAAGAAACCATCAACTACGACATTATTATTATTACATGTAACTAATGTCCATTTCAGAGTTAAATGGACGTGAGCATTTTTTGAATAACTTTTGATAGGAACGTGTTAGAGATCTTCGGTTTTTACCGTTGGAAAGAGCAGATGAAGACGCATCGAATTATATATATAGAAAGATTTTTCTAACTACTTTCCTATAGGTTTTATATAAAACTTCAAGAAAAACAGCATGCTTCTCATGGTCATGATATCAACTTGTTGATTTTCAAGAGTGCTCTAGAATGGCCAACGGAAGAGCTACAAAACTATATCAAGACGCTGTTCCTAACTGCTACCAGTATGATATGTAAACCATCGAAACACAATTTACCACCTCATTTTTTTTCAACAAAATAATCGAAAAATGTAAATTTTTGTCGTATTTTGATAGGAAAGTCACTTTTTTTTAACATAGGAGAAAAACGCAATTCTTTGAAAACTTTTGACTAAATCTATAGGAAAATAGTTAAAAAAAATCTTTATAGTTCGATGCGACTTCATCTGTTCTTTCCAACGGTGAAAATCGGAGATTTCTATCTCGTTCCTATCAAAAGTTATTCAACAAATACCCACGGCCATTTAACTCTGAAATGGACATTAATAAATGTTGTACAGTTTTGACTCATATTTAACCTATTTTATTTCATTGCTTTATTCTAAACAAAATTCTAAATACGGGAATTTAACTAATTGATGTATGGTCTTATGCAGAAGCATAAGTCTTACAGAAAAAAATTGTATTTTTATTTTGTGATTAATCTTAATGTTTATTATAACATTTACTTCAAGTCTGCAATAGATTTTTAGATTTAATCTTACTGTTAGTATATATGACTATAAGAAATCAAATATATAGATATTTTACATATTCCAATCAAAACTATAAACAATGAAATGAAAAAAAAGAGAAATTTTGTTTTTAACAATTATAAAAAAAGTTTACAAAATATATTTTGAAATGTAATGACAGAATCAAACAATAGTAAAAATCTCGAGTTCAAGATTAATCCGATTAGCTCTAATAAAGATTTTACTAATCGAAAAAAAAAAAAAAAAAAAAAAATTGGAAATAAAATTACCCTTTTTTCTATTTTTATAATTTCATTATATTTGAAGCTTGTTAACTGTAGGAAAAATTCTTCAATTAATCGAAATTACCTTGATCCATAGTAATTACAAGGTTAATTTATTTTGTATAATGAGATATGTAAAATTATACTTCATTCATACCTTGGTTAAAATTTAGATTTAGATGAGACTTTAAATTTTTCATTATTATAACGTATACATAATAATATGCTTATTCTCAATTACATATAGAATCCATTTTGTTGAATAGTAAAAAG